AGACGCTCCACCTGGACGTGTGGGGCCCAGCCCGCGTCCAGGGACAGGGCCGCGAGCGGTACTTCCTGCTGGTCGTCGACGACTACACGCGTTACACCACGGTCTTCCCCTTGCAGAGCAAGGGGGACGTCCCTGATGTTTTGATCCCTTGGATCCGCGCTGTTCGTCTCCAGCTCCGCGAGCGGTTCCGGCGGGATTTTCCTGTCCTGCGTCTGCACTCTGACAGAGGTGGTGAGTTCTCCTCTGACCTCTTGGCAGCCTACTGTGCGGAGCACGGCATCACCCAGTCGTTCACGCTTCCGGCCTCTCCACAGCAGAATGGGGTTGCTGAGCGTCGCATTGGCTTAGTCATGGAGGTCGCTCGTACCTCCATGATCCATGCGGCTGCCCCCCATTTCCTGTGGCCGTTTGCGGTCCGGTACGCTGCGCATCAGCTCAACCTCTGGCCCCGTGTCTCCTTGCCGGAGACCTCGCCCACACTGCTGTGGACGGGGAAGGTTGGTGATGCGTCGCGTTTCCGGGTCTGGGGTGCTCGTGCCTTTGTCCGTGATACCACCGCGGACAAGCTCTCCGCCCGCGCTGTTCCCTGTGTCTTCCTTGGCTTTGTCCCTGACGCGCCTGGTTGGCAGTTTTACCATCCCACCTCGCGCCGTGTCTTTGCGTCTCAGGACGTCACGTTCGACGAGTCGGTTCCCTTTTACCGTCTCTTCCCCTACCGCACTGCCCCGCTCCCCCCCCCCCACCGCTCTTCCTCGCTCCAGGTGCTCCCCAGGTAGACCCCCTCCCCACTCCTGGTCCTGCTCCTTCAGGTGTTTCTCAGGTAGACCCTCCTCCCTTGACTGCGCCGGTTGAGGTCACTGGTGACTCAGGTCCTACTGAGGGTGGTCCTTCTCGGGGTGCTACTTCTAGGGGTGCTGAGCCTGGGGGTGCGGAGCCTGGGGGTGCTGAGCCTGGGGGTGCTGAGCCTGAGGGTGCGGAGCTTGAGGGTGTGGAGCCTGGTGGTGCTGAGCCTGAGTGTGAGGGGTCTGGGGGTGCTGAGCTTGGCGGTGCTGACGCTGGAGGTTCTGGAGCTACTGAGGGTGCTGGCGCTGGAGGTTCTGGAGCCGCTGGAGGTGCAGGTGCTGAGGGTACTGACACCGGAGGTTCTGGAGCCGTTGGGGGTGCGGGCGCTGAGGGTTCTGAGTCTGCTGTTGCGCGGTCTCCTTGGAGTAGCCGCCTTCGTCCACGTGTGCCTCTCACCCCACAGCAGCTGCAGGACTGGTACGGTCGCCGTCCGCGTCGCGCTGCTGGAGCTAGGAGTGGTGCTGGACCTTTGTCTACTGGAGGTGCTGGAGTCGCTGGTTCTGGAGGTGCTCGTACTGGAGACACTGCGGCTGGAGACCCTGGGACTGGAGGTGCTGGCTCTGGGGGTGCTGCTGCTGGAGACACTGAGGCTGGAGACCCTGGGGCTGGAGGTGCTGGTTCTGGGGGTGCTGCTGCTGGAGACACAGAGGGTGGAGACCCTGGGACTGGAGGTGCTGGTTCTGGGGGTGCTGCTGCTGGAGGTACTGGAGCTGCTGGAGGCACTCGAGCTGCTGGAGCTGCCGCTCCTGGTGCAGCTGCGCCGACACGACGGTTCTTCGCTCCGCCGTCTCCGTCGTCTCTGCCGCCGTCTGACTCTGTTCTTCGTCAGGTTCTTACTCTCCCGTCGTCTACTGGTCTTCCGTTACAGCCCGGCTCACCGCTGCCTGCTCCTTCTCCTTACACTGTGCAGACTGGTAGTCCTGCTGAGCGTCGTGAGCCTGCGTCGCGTCCTGTTTCGCCTGTTCGTCCTAGTCGTACCGGTCGTCGTGTTCCTCGTTCGCGTCAGCCGGCTGTCCCCAGCGCACACCTCGTAGTCCGTCGTCCTTCCTCTGCTCCGCAGCCTGTTTCTCTGCCGTCTCCTCCTGCGTCCTCGTTGCCTGACGTTCCGGACCCTGCGTCTGACCGGTTTCGTGCTGAGCACCCTACTGTCACGCGTCTACTAGCCACAGTTGTCACTGACCCGTCGTTTGAGTCTGCTGCTGCGTCTGCTCTTGTCGCTGAGCTTGTTGACTTTGCTGCTGCCTGTCGTCTAGACTTCACTGCCAGTCTTGTTACTGAGTCTGAGTCTGTCTGTCCTCCGTCCGTCGGGGGTGAGTGTGCTCTTAGCACGGACGTCCTTGAGGACAGGCAGGAGGAGTTTCAGTGTCTCGCTGCTGCTTTACCTCATCTTGTGTCCTCGCTACTTGCCCCTGAGGGAGACCCGGATGCACCAGACATCCCGACTCTGCGCTCTTACGCAGAGGCGATAGAGGGTCCCTACTCCTCTCAGTGGCAGGCAGCCATGGACGCAGAGATGGCTTCCTGGAAGTCCACAGGCACCTATGTCGACGAGGTTCCCCCACCTGGGGCGAACATCGTCAGTGGCATGTGGATTTTCAGGGTGAAGCGGCCGCCGGGTTCTCCGCCTGTCTTCAAGGCGCGTTACGTGGCTCGAGGCTTCAGTCAGCGAGAGGGAGTTGACTTCTTCCAGACCTTCTCCCCCACCCCGAAGATGACCACTCTTCAGGTGCTGCTGCATGTTGCTGCTCACCGTGACTACGAGCTTCACTCTCTTGACTTTAGCACAGCTTTCTTACAGGGCAGCCTGCACGAGGAGATCTGGCTGCGCCGCCCCCCGGGCTTCACTGGGTCGTTCCCTCCTGGCACCCAGTGGAGCCTCCGGCGGCCGGTCTACGGTCTCCGCCATGCACCACGTGAGTGGCACGACACACTGAGGACTACGCTTGCGGCTCTTGGGTTTGTGTCTTCTACTGCTGACCCGTCGCTGTTTCTGCGCACCGACACTTCACTGCCGCCTTTCTACATCCTCGTGTACGTCGACGACTTGGTTTTTGCCACTGCTGACACTGAGGCTCTCGCCCACGTGAAGTCGGAGCTGCAGAAGAGACACACGTGCACAGACTTGGGTGAGCTGCGCAGCTACCTTGGCTTGCAGATCACCCGGGACCGAGCACGCCGCACCATCACCTTGACTCAGTCACACATGGTGCAGCAGGTCCTTCAGCGCTTCGGCTTCACCTGGTCTTCAGCACAGGCCACTCCTCTGGCTACAGGTCACACGCTCTCAGCTCCACCTTCGGACGAGTCCGTAGAGCCGAGTGGTTCTTACCCAGAGCTAGTCGGCTGCCTCATGTACCTGATGACTTGCACTCGACCTGACCTCGCGTACCCTCTTGGTCTTCTGGCTCGCTACGTGGCTCCTGGTCGGCACCGACCTGAGCACATGGCTGCTGCTAAGAGGGTACTGCGCTACTTGTGCAGCACATCAGGCATGGGGCTAGTGCTTGGAGGGACGAGCCCAGTTGTCCTCACTGGGCACTCAGACGCTTCTTGGGTTGACGACCTGGCTACTCAGCGGTCGTCACTGGGTTACACCTTCAGCCTTGGCTCTGGTTCAGTTTCGTGGCGTTCTACACGCTCGTCTTCAGTTCTCAGCTCCAGTTGTGAGGCTGAGATCTACGCCACAGCCATGGCTGCACAGGAGTTACGCTGGCTCACCTACCTGCTGACTGACTTGGGAGAGCAGCCTCGTTCTCCTCCAGTGCTGTACGTCGACAACAAGGCCGCCATTGCCTTGTGTGAGGAGCACAGACTGGAGCACAGAACGAAGCACATTGCTCTGCGTTACTTCCTGGCTCGAGAGTTGCAGCAGCGAGGCCAGCTTCGTCTTCGTCACGTGGCCACTCGGGCCAACACTGCTGATATATTCACCAAGGCACTTCCGTCTGGTGATCATCAGCGCTTTTGTACCCTGTTAGGCCTTGTGCCTACGCTTCCACACTTGCTGTAGTTTCTGCTTGTACTGTGATCTATATATATATGCATGCTGGCTCTTGCTAGGTAGTCATCACTGTACTGTTATTGTTGCATATATATCTCTGCATGTGGACTGGCCTTGTGGCCCTTTGCTTGTGCTCAGAATGTGTGGTGACGTTGAGATCCACCCTGAGCTTGCTTTGCTTCTCTTGACTGGTCGTTTGACCCCTTGTTCTCCCCCACTTTGCCTATGGGGGTGTGTCAAACATATATGCTGGATATTGCCCATATGGGGTACAGCCCAATTAGGGTTTACTACTTGTACTCCTGCATGCTGCTAGTTCATTCATTCCTGCTGCTAGATTCTGACACGCCGTTCGCGTCAGCCGGCGTTGACTTGACCGGCACGCGCGGCTGCCTGGGAGCCACGCACTCGTCAGCAACAGGCACGCGCGACTGTTTCACAGTCGCGCGTGCTTCTTCGGAGGGGGCTCGGGAGTTGCTCCCAAGCAGCACTTCGACTCCCGAAGTGCCCTCGCCGAAATTGTCTTCGGCAGGGCGTTTTCCGCGGCGGTCGGGTGCCCCGGGCGCGTTCGCGTGCTCCGAAGTGTTACCCGGGGTAGTTGTCTTTTCCGCCTCGCGATTAAGTGTAGTGTTGGCGGGCGCCATATTCGCCAGGTTGTGTTGGAGAATGTCGGTAAGCAGTGTCGACGGGGACTTGAACCGCGGGAGAGACTGCGTCTTCGCCAGGATGAACGAGAACTAGGAAAGTAAAACTAGAAATTGGAAATGAAGAACGTGGGTGGAGCTACTGAACTCATGTTCCTCTTTTGTAGGCAAAAGAGGGGTGAGTAGCGTCACACCGCTACCTTTGCCTTGCTGGCCACGTCCTCGCTTTCACAATACGAAATTTTAAAAAGTGTTACACTTTTCAAAATGATAATATTTCCTTAGTCCCTCCCTAGCCAAAAAGAATGGTTATTATGGATATAACGAGGTGAGCTAGTGTTTAACGTCATCCTGTCATTTCTTTAGTACCGTACCTTACTACGTGCACCACACTACAACTAGGAGCCCTGTATGTTGACTAATTTCTGGAATAGGAGCTCATGCGGTGCAGGCAGAATAAGGAGGTCATCCCTGATAAGTAGCTCTTTGATAGAACGAAGCCATTTGCAGTTTCAAGAGGAGGCCAGCGATAGGGCGTCAAACGCGGCTCGCTCGCGGTCCATGAAGAAAGAGGTGACGGCTGATAAGCGAGTGAGCTTATCGACGTGATAATTGACATGCACTGCCACTGCTGACCCCACCAATGACTGCAGCCTGCCGTAGTCCCGCTTGAGCTGCCCAAAGAGAACCTATAAAGGGGATAAAAAAAATAGAGTTTAAAAAGTAGAGAGGAGATTGGAATGGTCAAGCTACAGCAGAGGGCTCACCAGTACAAGCCCATGCAAGAACAAGGACGATTCTAGGGAAGAGGAGCAAGGGCAAAGGCAAGGGCAAGTGAAAGTGCGGGTACCAATGGCATGGCAGCCTACCTTTGAATTGATAAACCGGTGAATGTCCAGCACACGCCGGGAGATGAACACGCCCTTGTAGTCCGGCCGTGACGGGTAGAACATCTCCTCATTGAACACCACCAGTGGGTTCACCAATCCAGACACCCCGCCCCCTCCTCTCGACGCCGCCCCCAGCCGAGCCGCCACCCGATCAAAGAGCTCCAGAGCGGGAGCAGTGGGTCGAACCAGGAAGAACCCGGAATCCATGGCGAATACACGCATGGTGTGGGCGTATCGGGCCCAGCCCATAGATGGATCGTCTGTTACATCGTTGTAACCAAACGCAGATGCTTGATCGTGACCCACGCTCATGGCTTCTATGTCGCAGTCTCTAACCAGTTCTCCCGAAGAGAACGGGTTGCGGAGAATGGTAACGTCTAGGTCGGAAACCAGCATGGAGTAACCAAGGGCTAGGGCGTCTCTTAGAACGTAGAATTTCGCGCCGTTTAGACTGTCGATTACCGAGGCTGCGCGCTGGTTCGGGCTCTCGTTCGCCGAGGCTTGCGGGGGTGCGAACACGGCGGGGAGGTTCGGTACGAGGTAGCAGGCGACCTGGTTTGCTGAGGCTGCGTTACAAGCTGCTTCGGTAGCCGGATCCAGGCAGAGGACGAGAGCGTTGGTGATTCCGACTCTCACTACTTGCTTTATCCACATCTCCATCATATTCTGAACTTCCACTGCAGCTACAGTGGCTAGAATCTCCTTTTCCGAAGCTATTTTGAGCAGGAGAGACACCAAGGCTGGATCGACCCCTTCCGAACTGGGAACCACCGGCGGGTTGGTTCGGGGAAACCGAACCTTTCCGGCAGGTCCGGCCCGAACCGGCTTAAACGCACTTGGCTGGTCCGGCGTTCCCGTGCCTTCAATGGCCCTGATGCCTGAAGAGCCGTCCTTAGATGATCCCTCCCCTCCCCCCTGAGTTTGCACCTGAGATAGAAGCAGGTTCAAGCGCTCCTTCATCTCGTCTCGAGATCTTTCGATAGATTTTATTGTCGCTTGCAGCTCTTCAATTTTTTTCCGGGCAGATTCGGTTTGCTCGTGGATTTGCTCGGCTCGCTCTTCTAGGTCCGGAGAAAGAGGCGGGAATCCGGGCTGTTGGAAAAAAAAACACAGGCGAATGAGACAGGGATGAAGGAGTTGAAAACAAAATGGGAACAAAAAAGGAGTTGAGAACAAAGGGATGAAAAAACTATGTGATTCTGAGGGAAATGAGTGGAAGGGGAAGGGAAGGGGGGTCACAGACTGAAATCAAAAGGCGTGGTGGAAGGACTAAGGACCTATCCCGACAATGCTACAATATGTTGGTAGCTTGTAATTATAACTGATCTGCAACCTAAGGATGTGTGATAAGTACATAAACCCGTATGATGAGCATTGCCGAGTCAATTGAAAGTTGATAACAATGCAACAAGCTGTTCCTCTAACGTTGCTAAAAACCTATACACCAAAACAGCCGGAACCATAACCAGTATTTTCATACAACACGGTCAAGTACCCTATCTGACCCACCTGGCAATCGACATTAGCAGCAGCCAACTGATCCTCTATCGACCATTGAACGGTGAACACCACCATCGCCGGCACCAGCTTTAGGGTTGCCATCCCTGTAGTTATCACACTATCAGTAACCACATGACCTACATGAGATTCGAGACAATAGCAGCAGCGGATTGCTCCTCTAGTGACCGTTGAATGGTGAACACCACCACCGCCAACACTAGACGTAGATTTGCTATCCCTGTTGTAACCATATCAGACGCAACCATCACAAGTTGTGACCATCTGAACCTACCTGAGATTCGACAATGGCAGCAGCGGATTGCTTCTCTAGTGACCGTTGAACGGTGAACACCACCACCGCCGGCACCAGCAATAGGGATGCTATCCTGGTGGTAACCACACCGGTTGTAACCATTTGAACCTACCTGGGATTCGACAATAGCAGCAGCGGATTGCTCCTCCAGTGACCGTTGAACGGTAAACACCACCACCGCCAGCACCACGCCTAAGGTCACCGCGAGGCATATCTTACGGTCCGTTAACCCCCTTCCTGATTCCCGCTTAGGGATTCCCGCTACCGCGCCTTGCATGGTAGTCGACTTTCGAGACGGCTCAATAATCAGCTCGAAGGAAAAAAGTTACGAAAGTTTAATCAAACACCAGATTCTATAGCAGCGAATTCGTGATGTAGCGGTGACAGAGAGGAGCGGCACTACAGCGAGATTGGAAGGTGATCACAAGAGAAGCAAATCAACGAGCGCTTATACCGCGGTCAGGAGAGGAGAATGAAATACGCTAAAATGAGCGTAAGAGCCCCTGAAGGCTATCGCACAACTTGTGATTCAGCGGCTCTCAAATCGACGCATCGATGTGTGACACCTAAGAAGCTGCTAGATCATGCAAATGCGGAAAGCGGTAAAGTGGACGGGACTTCGGAAAGCTATCCTGATCGGCTTGGTGATTCGACACCAACACCACCTCGCGCGGGGATTCGCGAAGCTCTTCACGACAAGCTAAGGTAAAGCAGACCGCACCAATTTTAGAATCCCGAGATCAACTAAGGACGCGGCACCTGTTTTGTGGAAGCTACGATCGATCGTGGCTGCGGATCGATGTGCCACATGTACATTGTGTTGGCGATATCGCCAATGCCTGGTATCCGTTCTTCGCCGAACGTCGAAATTCTACAGTAAACGGGTACCCTAGCTCGCACGGTGGAGGTGCTGATGTGCACACATCGATCGTGCGTTTAGGTTGGTGGGAGGGCACATCGAGCCACAGGTAACAGCCGCGATCGATCGACGTCGCCAACGGTCGCAGGCACAGAATTTATGAGTCGCTGCGAATGAAATTGCTGGGCGATCAACCACGCTCTGCCCTTATTGGCTGTGCATTGCACTGTTTTGGTGTATCCCGACGCGGCTCCAACCTGCCCGACCCTGCAATCTCGACCCTGGCACTTACAGCTCGATGTGTCAGCCCCACTACAAATTTGCAGTGGGCACATCGGTGTGCCGATCGATGTGCCAGGATCGATGTGAGGCCCCGACCCTCTCTCGATCCTAGCAAAATGCAAACATGTTTCGCGTCCTAAACATAGGCGCAATGAAGATGGTATTTTTGAAGGATGAATGCCCCTGATAATCACATCACCATACCCTGGAAAATGGAAACGTGGGATAAATCTGTAGTGGACAACGCATAATAAAGTCAGCACATCAAGCATTTACCAAATAGAAATTCGATATGGTACTTGGAGCAACAACTATGGCCGTGATTTCATAACTTCCTTAATGGAAACACAATCTTTTCACACAATCGTATCTCCAACAACCACATTTCCTTCTTTCACATAAACCGTCCCTTGGTTTTGTAACGGAAAAAGCAGTGTGGTCGGAACACGCATGAGCAAAAATCTGGCTCCAACAGGAGCTGAAATCGGGCCCAATTCACTTGCTCTGCTGCAGCGGTCACCCTGCAAGCATTCTGCAAGGCCAACAGGTCTCATTGGCGCACAGGACCCTTGATCTTCGAAGGTATGGGTAGGACTGCCTTGGCCAGTTTTGACACCCTCCCCATTGCCAGTTGCATTGCTACCACCACCATTGCCACCACCATCACTGCTACCATCACTACCACCAGCACCAGCAGCAGCAGTAGAAGTAGCAGCGGCATCAGCACCAGCAGCATCGTCAGGTATAGGAGGTGCAGAGGCAGCCGCATCAGAAAAACCTGGGTTTCCACGCCTGCTGACTGCTGCTGCACTAGGAGGGAAGTGTGCAGATTCAGCAGCGTGTAACCCTGCTGGAAGCACCTCGACGAAGAAGTCGTTTGCCACATCACCGTCTGCATCTTGGTGAAGAGAAGTGATGAACCAAGCTAGGCCCTGGTGGACGGGTAAGGAAGTGGGATAAATACATGAAGAGAACCAGTCTTAGTGCAAAGAATTGAGTACCATGCCAAGCTCTGAAAGGGTTATGGAGGCCGACTCAGGGGCTCTGGTGGGACGATGAGAGGTGGGGGACAGTGTAGAGTGTTTTGGAGAATTCTGAAAAACACTCTACATCTCCAAGGTCTTGGTACAAAAAATTGAATACCATGCCAGGCTCTGTAAGGGCTATGGAGGGCGCCTCAGGGGCTCTGGTGGGATGACGAGAGGTGGGGGACAGTGGAGGGAAACAGATGGAGTGAGAAAATGAGGAGAACATTCAAGCATTGCAAGTCTTGATGAAGGGAAGTGATGTATCATGCCAGGCCTTGGTGGGGTTATGAGAGAATGGGAACAATGAAAAAGGTGAATGATATTCCTGAAAGGGTTCTGGTGGAGGAATGAGAGGTGGGGGATAGTGGAAGACGACCAAGAGAGTGAGAAAAGAGGGAGGAGAGTCAAGCATTGCCGTTCTAGGAGAAGGGAGGCAATGTACCACGTCAGGCCATGTCCCTGGTGGGTGAATGGGGGCTGGTAACGAGGAGATGGGAGGAAATAAACACGTCCCGGTGAAGAGAAGGGATGCACCATAGACCAAGTCGGGAAAAATCAAGGTGCGAGCAATAGAGGAGAGGATCGGCACAGCCCAGGGAAGAGGAGAGAGCCAGGGAAGAGACAAGCCTCAGTGACGAGAAGTGACGTTATTAAAAAAAAAAAAAAAGCAAGAATGGGAACGAAAGAGGGAGAGGAAGCATGTGGTCCCCGGAAAGGACGAGTCTTTGTGAGGATAGAAAAGAATGGTTGCGGGAAAAGGAAAGACCAGAACACGGCTTACTGAGAGCCAGCTGGGCCAACAACAGTGCTGTGTGAACCAACCATGGCTGACACGGCACCACTGACCAACCGTGGTTATTGAGATATTCTCGGGATCGACAAGAGGAAGAGAGTCGGGCCAGGGGTTGGCGCCACAAGGGATGGAAGCATTTCTATGAGCACAGCACATGCGAGACACAGCCTTTTGAGGCGCCTCAAAGGCCATGAGCACAGCACATGCGAGATACAGCCATGCCAATAACAAAGCAGTGCTGCCAACCAAGCAGGAACGGTACGGACCGCGCATCATCATTGACTGGTTCATCACAAAGGGTTGTCACAAGTACCGATATGTGCAACGCAGTCACAATGCAACAACCACAGCTCAGTTCCAGAGCTGTGATGACCCGCGCCTTGTCACATCTCTCTACACGTCTTCCTTTTCCCCACCTGCACGCCTCCATCTCTGTGCTCAGCCAGTCGAATCAAAGGCCGCCACGTCAGCCCGTTGCTGTCAGTATGAAGCTCTTCTCTCGGGTCAGCCAAATGCCCATCCCCACCCCCACGCCTCTCTCTCCCTGTCGCTTGCTTACTGCTTCCACTAACCCTTCGCCTTGCCCTGCCATCCATGTCAGTCGCCTCTTCCTTCCTTCCTCCTCTCTTCCTTTCCCTCTCCTCCTCCCTTCCTCCTCCTCCCATCCCCCAGAACCCGCGTCCGTTTCCTGATCTATCCCAGAAGCCTCCTCCTTCACCGTCTACACCCTCTCCCTCGTTATTGTTATCCTCGTCTTCGTCATCCTCGTCAAAAAGTTCGTACACAGTTTTGAAGAATTTCCCTATGGCGTGCATACTGCCTCTGGCTTTGAACAGCGAGCGAAAGGGCGAATAACGATGACACTGCCAATTTGTGTGGAAAAGGTGAGCAGGGGGATTGGAGCATGATTGGGCTTTTGAGTTGGCTCAAAATCACCTTGTAAAAAAGGGGGAGAAGGGGGGATTGAGCATGATTGGAGAGGCGGGAAAGGGGGGAGTGAGGGGGAAGGAGGAGGAGGGTTATGAGGCGGGGGTCGAGAGGGGAGATATTGCCAGCGGGCAAGGACAGTGTGAAGACGACAAAAACAGATTCGGTGCTTACTCATATCGACGCATCAAACCCCTTACGATTCGATGATCAGTGGGCCAATAATGCAGGAGCCGATCAGAAAGGCGGAAAAAGAAACGCATTTTGACTGTCTGCTCTCTGGACGTGATTCTTCGTAATCTTATCAGACAGGATAGAATAATGACCTCGTTGTGCCGATTTTCCTTGTCAGTGTCCGATCAGCAGTAACCGCGCCACGAGGTTATTCGACGCAACGACCTTTCGGCGGCTTAGAAATCCAGAGATTACGGCGCCACTTTAAACGCCTTTTGAGTCGCCTCAAATCAGAATTTAGGGTCGTCGGCGCTACTCTGGATCAGATTCAGCAGTCGCCGAGGAATGCGATTCGCGCAAACGGATACAGAACGTAGAACTTGCAGGGCTGGATCGCGCGTCCGACGCTGCAGCTGGGAAGGCGAGTGTGGTTACTAACCATCTGGCTAGTCAACGTTATGACTCTGCTTTTGAAAACAAGCAGGGAGCTTTTGATCGGTTTGGCGTGGAAGTTCCAACCATATGGGACCAGCGCGCAGAGATTTGTGCTGAGGAAGCAGTGTGGCTATACCCGTTAATAGGTCACTGAACGTCTCTGCGGATCGAAATATTTAGAGGCCAATATTTAAATAGATATAAGCCGAGCATATGGCCTAGAGGCCAATCACAGACACAAGGACTTATAAGCTGGTAGAATACAAGCAAAACAAGCAAAACAAGCAAAACTTAAAGCAAATGAACTAACTTTAAGATATGACTTTTTTTTTTGTTTAATATGGCAACTCCCTTATTTTGGCAACTCCCTTTTCTTTACAACCCTGCAATATGCAAATGTTAGCTTTCATGCTGCTGAGGTGATGCCACTGATGAGTTCCCTGATTCCGACACCTCTTTTTGAGCCACCTCCCTTGAAGTCAACTCAGTACCACCCAACAAAGGCCCAGACTCCTCGTCCCCCACTTCAACCTGTTGTTTTTGCTCCTGCTCTTGCTGCAGCTTCTTGGAAGTCTCCTTTGCTTTCAGTTCCTGGTTAAAAGATGCGGTACGAGGAGGGAGGGAAGTACCGTGTAGAGCAAATCAGTTTAAAACAAAGGACAAGTTCTGCTGAAAGAGCAGAAAGAAGTCGAAGAAAAACAGGAAACAGTATTTAAGCTTCAAACAAATTTTGCTGGTAAGTTACGAAGCAGCAACAACACAGGGAGGAAGGGTGGGATGTGATGGGTGGTGGGAGTTCTTTGTACATAGTAGAGGGGACCACCAAGATTAGCAGAGTAAACACTACAAGACACCATACCAGTACCTGTAATAACAAGTTACTATGCCTACATACTATTCATATCAACATATCTGTACCTAACTGTACCATACATCATTTTGCACGCGCAAGACCTGCACTTCAAATCGTAGTACCTGTACCTTCATGTGTGGCACCAACATGTTGAATTACAGTACTAGTGCTGTCATCTCACTGTATCTATAACTTCATGTACAGTACCTGGATCCTTTTTATATAATTACACCTGTGAGTTGATGATACTGTACCTGTAGCTTCATGCTGTTGTACCAGCAGACCCCAACAAAGGCCATCATATGAGTTCCTGCAATCTCAAGGCAATTATCCATGTTTAGTAAAGTATCTCTACCTTTATTATACTGTACCTGTAGCTTCATGCTGTTGTACCAGCAGACCCCAACAAAGGCCAGAAGATAGCCCATCAGGTTGATTGCTGTGACTCTATCGCGGATAACCGACCATGAGAACGCAATCAGCAGCCAGTCCTTTACCACGCCTGAAGCTCGCAAAAAAGGGGATTATTAAAGGCATTTTTGAAGGGTTGTCTTCTTTTACTAGACCACGGATAACCGACCATAAGTACAAAATGAACAGCAGTTGGCAAAGAGAAACACAAGTGCAAGTTGAAAGGGGATGGTTGAGTGAAAGAGGGATACGTACCTTCCATGTACCTTGCACATAGTACATACCTGCTACATTTACGGTGAGAGCAGACGTCTTCTCAATCAGCAGAAAGACGGCGAGGTTGAGAGAGAATGCACACGCGCAGTTGGCGAGGAAAAGGACGAGCGTGGGTTGAGCGGGGATCGTCAAAAGGGGGGTGATGCGTACCTTTGACGCACCTTCCACATACCTCTCACTACCCACGTACCAGCGACGTTCATGGTGAGAGCTGATGTTTTCCCAATCAGCAAAAAGACGGCGAGGTTGAGGGAGAATGCACAGGCACAGTTGGCGAGGAAAAGGACGAGCGCAGGTTGAGAGGGGATGGTGAGGGAGGGAGCGAGGCGCGGGTATTCGACGAGGAGCCAGGGGACGGAGAGGAAGAGGAGGCAGACTGGCGAGATGTAGAAGAGCGATGTGATGGGGTTGAGAGATACGCCCTTGGCTGTGAGGAGGATCTGTAATGTGGTGTGCAGACAGGAAAAGAGAGAAAAGGGCGATAGGAAGGTTTCGAAATGGAGGAAGAAGTGGTGCAAAGGGGTAAAAGTATGGGTGAAAGGGAGAGAGGCGATAGGGAGCGAGGCAGGGATACTCGACGAGTAGCAAGGGAGGGAGAGGAAGAGCAGGCAGACTGGCGAGATGTAGTAGAGTGATGTGATGGGGTTGAGAGAGACGCCCTTGGCTGTGAGGAGGATCTGCCATGCGGAGAGACAGGCAGGGAGGAATTGGAGGGAGTATGAGGAAAAAAGGCCTTAAGGAGTGGAGAGATGTAGTAGAGTGATGTGATGGGGTTGAGAGAGACGCCCTTGGCTGTTAGGAGGATCTGCCATGTGGAGAGACAGGCAGGGAGGAATTGGAGGGAGTATGAGGAAAAAAGGCCTTAAGGAGTGGAGAGATGTAGTAGAGTGATGTGATGGGGTTGAGAGAGACGCCCTTGGCTGTTAGGAGGATCTGCCATGTGGAGAGACAGGCAGGGAGGAATTGGAGGGAGTGTGAGGAAAAAAGGCCTTAAGGAGTGGAGAGATGTAGTAGAGTGATGTGATGGGGTTGAGAGAGACGCCCTTGGCTGTTGGGAGGATATGTGATGGGAAGGGAAGGAGTGAGGACATAGAAAGAGCAAGCGAGGAAAGGGGCGATACGAAGGTGCGGGAGGGGAGGAAGGAGTGGTGCGATGCGACAATAGGAGGAAGGACCAGCCCTAGCTAGGTCCCAAAGGTCAAGGGCTTGAATCATGCAGATTACCTGTACGAGCACCAGGCGTAGGGCCTCAAAGCACACAGCTGCAAGCTGCAGCAGCACCCCTGTGGCGTTGAAATTCGCCTCTCCAGCTAACCAGCCTCAACAACACAAGCCGCAGAGGAAGCTCGCCTGTATGAGCACTAGCCTTAAGGCCTCGAAGCACACAGCAGCGAGCTGCAGCAGCACCCCTGTGGCGTTGAAATTCGCCTCCCCATACACCGCCACGGCCACCCCCACTGTGATGTGATGGCTAACCTGCTGGCGAACTCTATTTGTTTCCCATAATCTAGGGGCTTTTAGTTTGCAGCAGCTCACCTGTATGAGCACCAGGCGTAGAGCCTCAAAGCACACAGCTGCAAGTTGCAGCAGCACGCCAGTGGCGTTGCAATTGGCCTCCCCATACGCCGCCACGGCCACCCCCACCATGATGGCGACCATGAAGGCAGAAGACTCTACTCTGTTGCTCCATATATCTAAGGGCGTTTAGCATGTAGCTCACCTGTATGAGCACCAGGCGTAGAGCCTCGAAGCAGACAGCTGCGAGCTGCAGCAGCACCCCTGTGGCGTTGAAATTTGCCTCCCCATACGCCGCCACCGCCACCCCCACTGTGATGGCGACCATGTTAGCAAAGGCAGAGGTTCGGAAAGTCTCTCGGGTGAAAAGCACTCCTAGGAGGTAGACAGCGACTGGCATAAGCGCCTTGAGCATCTGAGAGTGGAGTGAATGGGGTTGGTTGGTGGGAAGGGGGGGAGGGGGACACGTGAATGAAGGTGAACGTGCCTCGCCACGGCCACCCCGACTGTGATGGCGACCATGTTGGCAAAGGCAGAGGTTCGGAAGGCCTCTCGCGTGAAGAGGATCCCGAGAAGGTAGACAGCAACAGGCATGAGGGCCTTGAGCATCTGAGAGGGGAGAGTGTGGGGCCGAGGGGGGAAGACGGGGTGCGAGGGGGACATGAGTGAGGGGAACTGCGCCTCCCCATGTGCTTACCTGGATGAAGGAGACAGAGAGGTAGATGTAAGCTGAGTTGGAGAACCAGAGGCTGAGAGAGTAGAGCGCACCGATGGGCAGCACGGATGTGAGGTGAGGAGAGAATGAGGTGTGGTAGTATGATGCAGTGCGGTGTGGTGCGGTGTGGCCGGAACACCACTGAATACTTTCCTGGATGAAGGAGACAGAGAGGTAGATGTAAGCTGAGTTGGAGAACCAGAGGCTGAGCGAGTAGACGGATGTGAGGTGAGGTGAGGTGAGTGTTCACAACCTGTTGTAAGCAGTGCAGCACCAAATACAATCACCACACTCACCACGCTTATTTCACCTACTCCCCACCTGGATGCAGGAGACGGGGAGGTGGATGTGAGCCGAGTTGGAGAACCCGATGCTGAGAGAGTAGAGCATGCCGATGGAGCGGTGAGGTGAGGTGAGGATGAGGTGTGGTATGGTGCGGTGGGGTGCGGTGTGGCTGGAACACCACTGATTACTTACCTGGATGAAGGAGACGGAGAGGTAGATGTAAGCCGAGTTGGAGAACCAGAGGCTGAGCGAGTAGAGCGCGCCGATGGGGAGCACAGATGTGAGGTGAGGTGTGGTGTGGTGTGGTGTGGCGAGGATACTAGTGATTGCCCACCTGAATGAACGAAACGGAGAGGTAGATGTAGGCCGAGTTGGAGAACCAGAGGCTGAGTGAGTAGAGCGCGCCGATGGGGAGCACTGATGTGAGGTACATCTCGGTAGAGAGGGCGATGGGTTCGACCACTTTGAAGACCTTGACCAATAGGAAGGCGAGGAGCGAGCAGAATGCCATGTGGATCATTGTGAGACTGGTGGGGGGAGGGGAGGGAAGCAGAGAAAGAGGGGCATGGGAAGCTCTGAGGAGAGGGCGATGGGTTCGACCACTTTGAAGACCTTGACCAATAGGAAGGCGAGGAGCGAGCAGAATGCCATGTGGATCATTGTGAGACTGGTGGGGGGAGGGGAGGGAAGCAGAGAAAGAGGGGCATGGGAAGCTCTGAGGAGAGGGCGATGGGTTCGACCACTTTGAAGACCTTGACCAATAGGAAGGCGAGGAGCGAGCAGAATGCCATGTGGATCATTGTGAGACTGGTGGGGGGAGGGGAGGGAAGCAGAGAAAGAGGGGCATGGGAAGCTCTGAGGAGAGGGCGATGGGTTCGACCACTTTGAAGACCTTGACCAATAGGAAGGCGAGGAGCGAGCAGAATGCCATGTGGATCATTGTGAGACTGGTGGGGGGAGGGGAGGGAAGCAGAGAAAGAGGGGCATGGGAAGCTCTGAGGAGAGGGCGATGGGTTCGACCACTTTGAAGACCTTGACCAATAGGAAGGCGAGGAGCGAGCAGAATGCCATGTGGATCATTGTGAGACTGGTGGGGGGAGGGGAGGGAAGCAGAGAAAGAGGGGCATGGGAAGCTCTGAGGAGAGGGCGATGGGTTCGACCACTTTGAAGACCTTGACCAATAGGAAGGCGAGGAGCGAGCAGAATGCCATGTGGATCATTGTGAGACTGGTGGGGGGAGGGGAGGGAAGCAGAGAAAGAGGGGCATGGGAAGCTCTGAGGAGAGGGCGATGGGTTCGACCACTTTGAAGACCTTGACCAATAGGAAGGCGAGGAGCGAGCAGAATGCCATGTGGATCATGGTGAGACTGGTGGGGGGGGGGGGGTTGGGGGGGGGGAAGAGGTGGGGGAGGGAGAAAACGGACGGGGAGAAGGGCGGAATAGGAATGGGCAACACTGATGCGAGGTACATCTCCGTGGAGAGGGCGATGGGGTCGACCACTTTGAAGAGCTTCACGAGAAGGAAGGCGAGGAGCGAGCAGAAGGCCATGTGGATCATTGTGAGACTGGTGGGGGGTGGGAAGGGGGGGAAGCAGAGAAAGAGGGGCACGGGAAGCACGGAGGTGAGATACATCTGTGAGAGAGGGGGGCGGAACGGGAAGGCCGATATGGGGAGCACAGAGGTGTGGTACATCTGTGTAGAGAGGGCGATTGGTTCCACCGACCAATAGGAAGGCGAGGAGCGAGCAGAAGGACGAGGAGTGAGACTGGTGGGGGGAGGGAAGGGGGGAGGGGGAGAAAGAGCGAGGCAGAGGGAAGGGTGAAGGGAAAAGGGAGGCCGATTGGGAGCACTGAGGTGAGCGGGACAGCAGGGGGGAGCGGAACAGCAGGGGGGAGCGGGAACAGCAGGGGGGAGCGGAACAGCAGGGGGAAGCGGGAACAGCAGGGGGGAGCGGGAACAGCAGGGGGGAGCGGGAACAGCAGGGGGGAGTGGGAACAGCAGGGGGAGCGGGAACACCAGGGGGGAGCGGGAACAGCAGGGGGAGAGGATGGAAGGTTGAAAAAAATCAACTGCACGAGGAAAGGTGGAGTGGGGAGGGGGAAGCGGCATCTGGGATAGAGAGAAGCATTTTCTTATGCAACTTCCGTGGTGAGGGTGAGGAATTTGGGGAAATGAGGCGGACGGAGGTGGCGAATGGTTTGGAGAGTGGAGGGATGGAATGGTGGGGAGGGGGGAGGGTAGTGAGGGGGGGAAATGGAGGGGAGGCGGGGGGTAGTGAGGGGGGGAATGGCGGGGAGGCGGGGGGTAGTGAGGGGGGGAATGGCGGGGTGAAGGGAGCAGCAGACGCGCACTAGAGACGCACCTGATAGGGTAAGGCCAGTTGTACAGCTTCCGGTCGAGAATGTACTTGTTGAACACTATAACGGAGAAGCTTAAAACGATCCAAACGAGCACGTAGAAGTAGCTCAGCGCGATCTTCCTGCCGACGGACTCCGAGATCGCCATGATCGCCTGGTGCTAAACGAACGGTCGAGATTAAAAGCTGGTGATCAATAAGACAGACACGGCTGCTGGCTTCAGAAGCTATCGTTTCCGACTTCGAAAAGCTCAATAAACATTCGCCCTGCAATTATTGTTTTCTTGATGGTTTAACTATGATTGATAATTCTAGGGCACGCCATTAAGAATTTGAGGTTGTTTCAGACGCAACGCGGGGCTGACGGCATAATAAATGGGCATTCAAGTGACTAATTCGACGTGATTTGACGTGAATTCAACGACACGAGGATGCTCGCTTCCGTCGAGATGACTAAAATGTGGAATGCAGCTTCGTGAACGAGTTATTGAACCAGAATAAACTCTTCACGCTAAGTGCCAGCTCCTCCCGTAATCTTTCAGTCAAACGACTTGAACATCCCGTAATCTTCAGCGAGAAACACTGCGGCTTTCTGTGTGCATGACTTCCGTAGATACCCTCGAAGCAGGACACATCACGTCTTTCAGGGCGTATTCCTAGCTTCGGGTCATCCGGTGTTTGTGTCATCCGAAAATTGAGGTAGCCAATCGTAAAACTCGCGGTTCGAAATTTATTTTTTCCGATTGGATGCTGCAAATTTCGGATGACACGAAGCCGGGATGACTCGAAGCCAGGAATGACTCAGAGCACTTGATCCATCTCGGAACATGATGGGTTCATGAAATGTTAACAGGTGTTAAAAACAGTGTAGAGCGGTGCATCATGGTAGTTCCGTCTTGACACGAAATGTACGGGCTTGTCAGAGTTCACTCTATAGAGGTGACATGTTAGTGGAGCGCGTAGCTTTCCATTCAACACCCAACGTATTAATTTCTTCAGCTCCTCCAATGTTATGAGCAACCGAATTCGTGCATCTCGTCATGTCGAAACATACCGCATAATAACGAGTACAGCCCGGAAGCCACACGTCAGAACGGAAAGTGACGTAGGCCAGCCAATCAAAGAGAGCTACCCCAAGCCAGAACCATTCCCCCTTCCCCATGAACGCCTTCACCCGCTGTCGCGATTTCTGGATCTAAGGACGCGTTACCTGCCTCGATCGATCGTAGGATTGCCACTAAAAACCGATCGGGCATACCGATCGCAGGTTTGGGGCACGATTGGGGGGAGGTGACAGCTGAACATCGATCGCAGCTTGGTTTTGAGCCCTGGGTGACACGTTCGGTATGCGCCAGGGAACATGGTTGGGCGAAAATATGCAGCACCGTCGTATGGGTGATTTGCGAGAAAAAACATGAGATGATTCAGGTAACCCTGCAAACTGTGCGACGGCGATCGATCTTGCCTGTCACTTTGAGCGCGAGCTTTGAGCTCATGCAAAATCGGTGTGTGTATGACGACGCAATCATCGCGGTTGGGGGGAGGTGACAAGATCGTGGTACACCTGTTACTGTAGATTCGTTAACTGTCTCGAAATAGGGTATCTCTGTAAACTGCGATGCTACAGTAATACTGTAGCACGCCAAACATCGATCCTACGCAGGATCGATCGAGGCAGGTGACGCGTCCTAACCTGGCCGCCATAGCTCTTGTCGATCGCGTGAGCATGTCTTCTTGCAAGCGTCGCGTGGGCGTGATGTTTGCAACTAACAGCTTCCCGTCAGTTTGCAATAGAGCGACTGTTCTGTCTCGTGTGCGAAAGAAAGTGAACTACTGTACCTAGCAATTTTCCAGTAGCGGTTTGTCGGTTTCTCGACACCCTGTACGAAAAAAAACCCTTCGGCCATGAAATTGCGCCTTCACCACTATTACTAGTAGTAGTTCTCCTTGTGCCCACTAAAATGACAGCCTCGGGTGGCGTTATTGTCATTATTTGCAGTCAATTTAGTTTGCTGAGTATTTCACTACTAGTTCTACTACGGCTGGTTCGGCTACCGGTCGCAGCGTCACTCTCTCCGCAATTCTCTAACGAGAAATACCCATCAGCTGACGGCCGTCAAGCATTGTTCAAATACTCTCGAGGGACGGGCAATGGCCGGTGGATACCGCCGAACGAGATATATGATTTAGTTAACCAGCGGAGCAATAATTCTCTGGCGAGGAGCTACCGGCCGTCAGGTGGTACTTACCGCCGGCCGTTAACGCGCAATGGAAAGAGACTGCCGCCGACAACTTGCGACCCGCGCTTGGAGCTAATTCTGCCGTGCGAGGAATGGGAGGGATGCGACTGGAACGATGTGACCATAGCGAGGGGGAAGGAAGAGTTGGAGGAGAGGCGTGGGGTCGGGAATGAACGATCAGAAACAGACCAAGACGGCAGAAAGGAGGAATTTACTCCTAGAGAGATGGACGGCGGCAGAGAGGAGGAATTTACTCCTAGAGAGATGGACGGCGGCAGAGAGGAGGAATTTACTCCTAGAGAGATGGACGGCGGCAGAGAGGAGGAATTTACTCCTAGAGAGATGGACGGCGGCAGAGAGGAGGAATTTACTCCTAGAGAGATGGACGGCGGCAGAGAGGAGGGATATACTACTAGAGAGATGGACGGCGGAGATCAACCTGAAGGATCAGGGCTTGTTCAGATGAAAAGCAGCAGCGAGGCTCGTACTACTGGTAATGGTGATGAATGGAAAGAGGGTACTAGAGATAGAGGGATGGGGAGGGAAGAAGAGCGAGAGGAGTTTGAGACGAGTGATGATGAAAGGGATGCAAACGAGTTGACCGACGAGGAAGAGGAGGAGGGAGAGGAAGGGGAGATAGGTCAGGAAGGGGATGAGGGAGACATTATCGAGTCTGTCTTAAGGGGGATCCATGCATGGGAGGGAGAAAGCAGTGCTGAAAGGGAAGGGCAGGGGGGTATTGGGAGTCAAAGTGGGGGGAGGAAGAGCACGGGGATTGAGAGTAGCAGGCGGAAAGAGGGGGAAAGGAGTGGTTTTAGGGGATCGGGCGGAGTGAGGAGAGAAGTGGGTGGAGTAAACAAGCCGGGAATTGGCAGGACGGCTGGTGGGAGACGAAGGCTGGTGGACGGATGGATGGCAGGGCTGCCGGAAACGACGGAGAGAACAGTGATCGAAAGGCCAAGCATGAAAGGGAGGAGGAGGAGGCTGGTGGATGGGTGGGTGGGCGGGCCGTGGGAGGAAGCCACGTCAGCTTTTCAGTGGGTAAACGAGGCGGGCAAGAAAGAGGAAATTCTGGGCGTGGAGGCGGGAAATAAGGAGGACCCGCAAAGATACTACCAATGGCAGTGGCCCGTGGCGAGGCTGGGCGGCAGCTGGCATGGCATGTTCATGCGGGGCGACTCCGGGTACGACGTGAAGGTTAGTGCTAATAGCCCCGGGATTCGCTCACTTGCAAGGGCGGCGGCTGGAACAGCATGGCATGTTCATGCGGGCCGACGCCGGGTACGACTTCAAGGTGAGTGACGATGTGTAAATTGCTAATGTAAAGGGAGTGCTGCCTCCAGAATTACTATTCTTGAGTGATAATCCCTGCCGCTGCTGCTGGTAGGTGGCACCGTGGCAATGGCAGATGGGTAGAGCGGTTGACTGACATGACCTGGCAGTTGTTAAATATTTTATTTGCGTGAAATTGTGCGTTGTGAAATTGTGAAATTGTTGGTAGTAGCTCTTCGCAACAGAGCCCATGACGAGAGTCACTCGTCTGGGCTCATGTTCCTTCGGGGATTCATTGAGCCACTCGTTTGAACCCCTCGCCTCCTCTCTGTGCCTTCTCCATTTCTTCCCCCAAACTCTTCGCAGAACACCCCTTCCTGTCAAGGCATCCTCCCTGAATCAGCCTATGTCAACGCCCCTATTTGGGGCTTGGACGCTGGCGTTTCAGAGCTGAAGCTTCTCAGCAAGCTGCAGCGCCAGCAGGAGAAGCAGAATCACGAGCCCGTTCGTCAAGACCAGCAGGAGAATCTACCCCAAGACCAACGGGACTTCATGCTCAAGGAGCGCTGGCTCATCTGGATGCCGCGCTTTGGGCTGGGCAACTCGCTCAGGGCGTACACTTCGGCGTTTGTCTTTGCCCTGCTGTCGGGACGGAGGCTGCTGCGCTGGCACGGGGGGAACCACAAGCAGGTGAGGGGTTTTCAGGGTTTAGTGAGTTGGGTTCCGGGTTTTAGGGTGTAGGGTGTGAGTGTAATGGCTGGGGGGAACTCCCTGAGGGCATACACCTCGGCGTTTGTTTTTGCCCTCCTGTCGGGAAGGCGGCTGCTGCGGTGGCAAAGGGGGAACCACAAGCAGGTGAGGGCGGGGAGAGTATAGGGCGAGCATGTGAGGTGTGCATGTGGGGGGTTGAGTGGAGGGAGCATTGGGGCATGGTGCATGGGATAGGGGCCTGCACAAGCAGGCAGAGGGCAGGGAGGGAGGGTATGCGGCGAGCATGTGGGATGCCATCAGCTGTCCCTTTCCTAGAAACCACCTCATTTTTCATCAGCTACCCCATCATTTCCTGTACCCACCTCAGATCGAGCAAAGTCGGGTTGGGGTTGGGACGGGTCGGGTCAGGTCCACTCGGGTTGGGTCGGGAGGGACGGGTCGGGTCAACCTGTTGCTCATGTAAAAAGCAGCCTAGTCATTTTGTAAGAAAATTTCAAAGAAATTTCCAAACAAAAAAATCCAAAACCATGTCGTTCACAACATGAACCTCCTTTTTTTCACTCCATTGCCTTTCTATGAAGCCATTCAGTTGAATCCCACCTCCTGTCTGAAGATCCCTCCCATATGAAGAAGAGTGCCTTTCCCAAAAACAACTTCCATGTTCAAAGCCACATCATTTTTGAAAGGTTACCTACCCTTTGTTTTCTCAATATTCGGCACCTGGTTGGTTGCATTTCAGTCAAGCATTGGAGCGCCTCCAAACATACTTGCACACTTTAAATGAAACTCTGAAATGTCGCAAAAAATACTTGTACGTAATTGAGCCGTTTTCCCTCTATGCTCCACCTTTTTCCACACTTCCAACTTGTGCAACCTCTTCTCCCATCCTCACTTTTACCAGGTCTTAGACCGTTTGTGCCACGCATTTTACTGTGGGATAGACGAGCTGCACTATATAGGGGATATCGGCAAGCATGCAAAGCTCATGGACGCACGGAGGCTTGAGATGCATGGCTTGGACTACAGCCCAAATGTTGTGGCTGTTTACTCAGGTGTGCTATTCGCCTCATTTGATCCATCATTTCAAGGCAAGTTCTTCGACAGATTGCCGTCTAGCGACCCCCGGATAAGCCAGTGTATGCACAGTGAACTCTTGAGTCGACTCAACAGCGCGTGCACAGCACCTTCTTCTGTGCTTGCATTACATCCCATCCCATCACTCGCAGGTCAGTTCTTCGACCGATTGCAGCGCAGCGACCCTCGGGTCAACCAGTGCATGCACGGCACGGTGACTTTTGAATTGACTCAAAAGTGCGTGCGCGACGCGTTCGCCGGACCTCCATCTGGTGCACAGCACTTTCTTCTGTGCTTGCATTACATCCCATCCATCCTTCTCAGGTCAGTTCTTCGACCGACTGTGGCGCGGCGACCCTCGGGTCAACCAGTGAGTGAGCGACGCCTTCACCTGCACCTCCCTCTGGTGCATTCGCTCCTAGGTGCTCTCTCTCTCTCCTTGCACTCCCTCCTCTTCCCCCTACCCCATTCATTCCCACCAGGGGCGTTCTTCGACCGATTGTGGCGCACAGATTCCCAGCTGAACCAGTGCGTGAGCGACGCCTTCGCCTGCACCTCCCTCTGGTGCATTCGCTCCAAAGTGCTCTCTCTTCTCCTCGGGAAAGGTCCAAGGCCGGGAATGCAAGAGGTGGTTGACAGGGACCTCAGGGTGGTGCCGCCGCTGGTGCCCCGAGCGGGAGGGGTGGAAGCGGTGGGGATGAAGGAGGCGGGGGTGGATGGAGGGGAGGTGGAAGGAGGGAAGGTGGAAGGAGGGAAGGTGGAAGGAGGGAAGGTGGAAGGAGGGAAGGTGGAAGGAGGGAAGGTGGAAGGAGGGAAGGTGGAAGGAGGGAAGGTGGAAGGAGGGAAGGTGGAAGGAGGGAAGGTGGAAGGAGGGAAGGTGGAGCCTCAGATGGTCAAGAAAGGGGAGGGGCTGAGGCTGCAGTTTGACGTGGCGCTTCACATCCGTGGACACGCAATGTGAGTTCAGTGCAAAGGAGGTTTCTCAGTTAGTTTCTGTAGAAGGTACTGTGTGGTCTGTATGCGGATGGTGGGTGAAAGGGGAGGGACTGCGATTGCAGTTTGACGAGGCACTTCACATCCGTGGACATGCTATGTGAGTGGAGAGAGACTGAGGTAATCGTTGATGAAGGAGGCGCGGGGGGTGAAAGGAGGGAAGGTGGAGCCTCAGATGGTTAAGAAAGGGGAGGGGCTGAGGCTGCAGTTTAATGTGTCGCTTCACATCCGTGGACACGCAATGTGAGTGGAGAAGGACTGAGGTAATTGGGGATGAAAGAGGCGGGGGGGGTGAAAGGAGGGAAGGTGGAGCCACGGATGGATAAGAAAGGGGAGGGGCTGAGTGCAGTTTGACGTGGGTCGTTGCATATCCGTGGACATGGCATGTGAGTTCATCTCAAGGGCAGTAATCTGTGGGTGTTCATTTCTGGGATAAGGTTGTGCGTGGTCTATCCGCAGGTGCTTGGCAAAGGGGAGAAATTAAGGCTGCAGTTTGACGTGGGTCGTTGCACATCCGTGGACATGCCATGTGAGTCCAGTTCAGAGGGGGCATTTTCAGGTAGTGTTTGGAGATTGTTGTGTGTTTTCTGTTTGCGGATGGTAGGTGAAAGGGGAGGTATAAAGGTTGCAGTTTGACGTGGCACTGCACATTCGTGGGCACGCAATGTGAGTTTAAGTCAAAGGGGGTGTTCTCAGGTAGTTTTGGATAAGGTTGTGGGTGGTTATATGCGGATGGTTTAGAAAGGGGAGGGGTTGGGGCTGTAGTTTGACGTGGCGTTGCACGTCTGTGGGCACGCAGTGCGAGGGGAGGGGGATTGCGGTACTGAGGGATTGGAGGGTTTGAGGGCTTGATGGGTTGAGGGAGAGCTTGGCCTTGTCCCGCCGCATGTGCAGCGCAGCTGCTGACTGTTTTGGTGACTTTCGAGTCGACTCAAGAGCTTGCCCTTGTCCCAGCGTGCAGCGCAGCTGCTGACTGTTTTCTCTCGCCCCGTCTTCCTGCCTTTCCAGCAATGTGAGGACGATTACTGTATCAACAGGGACAGGATCATTTTCGGGAGAAAGCGCAGCGGGGAGATTTTGTTCAGGTTCATGTGCTGCGCAGCTGCTGACTGTTTTCTCTTATCCGTCTCTTTCCCTTTCCAGCAACGTGGAGGGCGTGTACTGTGCCAACAAGGACAGGAAATGCCGGGAGAAAGCGCAGCGGGGAGAGCAAATCCGGGAGCATGCATACATGAGGCCCCGGCAGTGGCGCTGCATTGCCAGGCTGATGCAGTTCCTGCGCATCAAGAAGGCCGCTGCGGGTGGTTTCACTAATGCCACAGCTGCTGCTGATGGGTCTGCCAGTGCCACAGGCCATACTGTTGGGATCTTCGACAGTAAAGTCTCTCATGCTGCAGTCAACACTGCCGCCGAGTCAGGCAAAGGTACAGCAAAGACGGGCAAAGAGCAAAGCAAACAAGCAAACAAGATAACAGAAAAGGACAGCAAGCAAACATTCAAAGAGAAAAGGTGTAACCGCGCACCACCATTCATCATCCATTTCACCATCAGCCTTTGCAGCCCTCCTTGCACCCCCAGTGCTCCCCCTCCATCTCCTCTTGCTCTCCGCTCCACCCCATTTCAAACTTCACAAGATCTTTTTTCACAAGAGTTTTAAACTTTTGATCCTGTCGCTTGTGTGTTATCTTCTGGTACTGCTGTGCAGCCCTTCGACTATGAGTCAATATAACCCAAGTGCTACTTCTCCATGCCCCCGGGCTCACCCCTCCACCCCATCCCTATATTCTAACCCCATCCCCATCCGCTTCCCTCCACACAAGCCTCTGTTGCTTCCCCTTGCCTTCCGCTCCTGTCCCGACCCCATAAATCCACCCTTTTTGCACCCATTTTTCCCCTTGCTTTCCCTTGTGTCTTTCAGAGCATCCACGGGGAGGTGCTAAGGTAGGGACTAAGAAGGAAAGGAGGAGGAAGCTTCAAAGGGAGAGGCTGCAGGATGAATGGACGGTTGAAGATTCAAATCTTGTGGCCTCCATCGTGCCACCTGGCGGGCCCTCAGCCACTCATCTAGGTCACCTGCGGATATTTGTGTCTACAGATACAGAAATTCTTTTATCACAAGTGGTGGAGATTCTAAGACCTTTTGGTGAGGTGTATTTCTCAGCTTCACCAGCTGTTCACTTGTCAAAATCTGGTGGGGACTATCTAGCGACGTTGCCAGATTTTGCACTTTTAAGCAAGGGCGCAGTGCTGCTGAGCTTCACTCGATACATTAGCACGTTTGCGTACTTTGCAGGCTTGTTGGGTAATGGGACAGTCATTGCTGATCCGAGCACACTTGCCGCTTTGATGTGGAGCATATGGGAGAGTTATTACCATAAAATAATGAACCGTCTTTATTGATTATGTTCCCTCTGTATGTATCAGTGCCGGTGACTTTCTTTTCATTTGGACACTGTCCAAAATCCCATTAAATTGCCTGATTGTGTGCAATAGCTAGTGTATTGTGTACATCATAATATAGTAGCAATAAAAAGGCACAACAACAACTCGAACTCTAGAAGTAAATACCTCAATTCTATGTTTTCACGACCATAACTCTCCCATATGCTCTACGACAAAGCTACAAGTGTGATCTACTGCAGGATTGTTTACAATTGTCCCATTACCCAACAAGCCTGCAAAGAAAGAGAACGAGCTAGTGAATCGAGTAAAGCTTACCAGCACTGCTCCCTTGCTTAGGAGCGCAAAGTCTGCCAATGTTGCCAGATAGTTCCCAACACCTTTTGACAGATGCATGGGAGGTGAAACTGAAAAATACACCTCGCCGAAAGGCCGTAAAAACTCCACCACTTTCGTTCGCACAGTATCCATATCTGTAGCCACAAATATCCTCAGGTGACCTAGATGAGTGGCTGAGGGGCTGCCAGGTGGCGCGACGGAGGCCACAAGAAGAGAGTCATCAACCGTCCACTCATCCTGCAGTCTCCTCCGCTGCTGAAGCCGCCTCCTTTTTTCCAGCTTAATCCCTGCTTTACCAGAGGGAAGAAAGAGAGTGAGGTGCAGGTAAAAGTGGCGATGCGATGGGGATGGGGTGGAGGGGAGAGGCAGGGGAAATGGGGCAGCAGCACTGGAGGGAGCAAGGAGGGATGCTGAGGCTGATGGTGAGGGTGATAGGTAAGGGTGAATGGGTTGAGGAAGATGGTGCTGTACCTTTGATTGTCTTGGTGGCAGTGTCGGTGGCGGAAGATGTTCCAACAATACCGCCAGGAGCCTTGGGCAACCGGCCAGTACCGGCTGTAACATTGGCAGCCCGACCAGCCGCACCTGTAGCATTGGCAGACCTGCCAGCCGCACCTGTGGCATTACTGAAACCACCGGCAGCGGCCTTCTTGATGCGAAGGAACTGCAGCAGCCGGGCAATGCAGCGCCACTGGGTGGGCTTCATCAGCTCATGCACTCGCTGCGTCTCTTCCTGCTGCGCCCTCTTCTGGCACTTGTTGTCTTCCCTGTTCATGCAGTAATCACCCTCCACCTGCCTGGAAAGAACAAAACAAACACGGGAGTGGAAGTGAACGTTTAGAGCTCTACCTTTTGAAGGTTCAGAACGTTTAGGGCGGAATTCCGCCCTTGTTGGTGCAGTGGTTGCTCGCTGCTGGAAGGATGGGTTAAGAAGGGAGAGTGAGGAAGACCTGATGTCTTCGGAAGGACGACGGGAGGAACGGAGTGAGCAGAACTGGATGTTATCAGGTATGCATTGTGCCGGTGTGCCTATCACGAATAAACTCCAAGAATTAAAAAAAAAAAAAAAAAAAAAAAAAAAAAGGAAGCCTGATCAGAAAACCCACTACAACAGTTTGGAAATTACTCACATTGACAGTCCACGGACATGAAGCGACACATCAAACTGCACCCGCAGCCCCTCTCCTTTCCTAACCATCTGCGGCTCCACCTTCCCACCTTCCCCCTCCACCTCCTCCGTCCCCACCCCTTTCCCTTTTAGCACCATCGGCGGCACCACCCTGAGGTCCCTATCGACCACATCTTGCACCCCTGGCTTGGGGCCTTTGCCGAGGAGCAGGGAGAGCACTTTGGAGCGGATGCACCAGATGGTGCGGCAGTTGAAGGCGCTGTGCACGCACTGGTTCATCTGGGGGTCTGTGCGCCACGTTTTCTCGAAGAAATTGCCTACCAGGGATGAAGGGGGAGGGAAGAGAGAAGGTCAGGCGGGAACGTGAGTTGCGGGGGGGGGGGCAGTTGAAGGCGTTGTGCACGCACTGGTTCATCTGGAAGTCTGTCCGCCACGTTTTCTCAAAGAAATTACCTGACACGGACAGGGGGATAAGTGGGAAAAGGAAAACCAATCGCACTTGTGACTGGTTGCACCAGATGGTGCGGCAGTTGAAGGCGGTGTGCACGCACTGGTTCAGCTGGGGGTCCGTGCGCCACGTCTTCTAGAAGAAGTTACCTAAGAAATATGAATGGGATGCAAGCACAAAAGGGCACGGGGGAGGGTGCAGCACCAGATGGTGCGGCAGTTAAAGGCATTTTGCACGCACTGGTTCATTTGAGGGTCCGTGCGCCATGTTTTCTCAAAGAAGTTTCCTAACAGGATTGAAAGCAAGCATGGAAGGGCAGGGAGGAGGCACGCGTTTTGAAAGAACATTACTTAATGAGAATGGAAGTGAACACAGCAGGGCAGGGGGGAGCCTTGATTTCTCAAACAGATTACCTAACAGACATGGAAGCGAGTAGAGAAGGGCATAGAGGAGGCATACCTTTTCAGCAACCAACCAACCAGAAAATATGAACGGGATGCGAGCACAAAGGAACAGGGGGGATAAGTGGGACGAGAAGGAGAATCAATCGCACTTGTGACTGGTTGGTTGCAAGAGAGGGAGAGGCATACCTGTGTAAACAGCCACGACATTTGGGCTGTAGTCCAAGCCATGCATCTCCAGTGTGATCGCATTCATGAGCTTTGCGTGCTTGCGAATGTCCCCTTTATAGTGCAACTCGTCAATGCCACAGTAGAATGCGTTACACAAACGCTCCAAGACCTGGAAAAGGTGAAGAAGGGAGGAAGAGGTCGCAAGGGATGGACGTGTGGAAAGGGGTTATGAATAGAGGGATGAAGACCTTTAAAGAATAAAGCATGAGAATAACCCAAAAGCTTTAAGACCCTACTTTGCCACCCGAACAAAAAAAAAAAAAGACCCACAACCTGAGACACCCTCACCTGCTTGTGGTTGCCGCCTTTCCACCTGAGCAACCGCCTTCCAGACAGCAACGCAAAGATGAACGCCGAGGTGTACGCCCGCAACGAGTTCCCCAGCCCAAAGCGCGGCATCCAGATGAGCCAGCGCTCCTTCAGCATGAAATCCTCAAGGTCGTCAGGAATGGACTAGCTGCCCTCAGGGAGTCCTCAAGGCCCTCACCTGCTTGTGGTTGCCTCCTTCCCACCTGAGCAACCGCCTTCCAGACAGCAGGGCGAAGATGAACGCAGAGGTGTATGCCCGCAGGGAGTTCCCCAGCCCAACCACCCAAAACCCGAAATTCGTAACTCTGAGACGCCCTCACCTGCTTGTGGTTGCCCCCCTTCCACCGCAGCAGCCTCCTTCCCGACAGCAAAGCAAAGATGAACGCCGAAGTGTACGCCCGCAGGGAGTTCCCCAACCCAAAGCGCGGCATCCAGATGAGCCAGCGCTCCTTGAGCATGAAGTCTTCAAGGCCCTCAGGAATGGACTCGTTGCTCTCCACCTTGTGCTGCAACTCGCTCAGCAGCTTCAGCTCCGACACACCAGCGTCCGCACGCCAGATGGGGTCGTTGACATAGGCTGATGCGGGGAGGATGCCCTTACACGAGGGGGTGCCCTGAAAGGGGTCGCGGAGTTGGGGGGGAGGGGAGAGGGGAGGAGGGGGAAGGGGAAGGAGCAATGGTCTCGTTGATCTACAGCTTGCGCTGCAAGTCGCTCAGCAGCTTCAGCTCGGACACACCAGCGTCCGCCCGCCAGATGGGGTCGTTTACATAGGCTGATGCGGGCAGGATGCCCTTACAAGAAGGGGTGTCCTGAAAGGGGTCGGGTTGGAGGGGAGGAAGAGAAGGAGGAATGGGGGGGAGAGGGAGGAGGGATGGTCTCGTTGCTCTCCACCTTGCGCTGCAAGTCGCTCAGAAGTTTAAGCTCTGAGACGCCAGCGTCCGCACGCCAGATGGGGTCGTTGATGTAGGCTGATGCGGGGAGGATGCCCTTGCACGAAGGGGTGTTCTGACATGAGGGGGGGAGAAGGGATGGAAAAAACTTTTGAGGCACCTCAAAACCCACAGCATCCAAATCAGCCAGGGTTTAGGGTTGCATGAAGTCCTCAAGGCCCTCAGGGATGGACTCGTTGCTCTCCACCTTGCGCTGCAAGTCGCTCAGCAGCTTCAGCTCTGAGACACCAGCGTCCGCACGCCAGATAGGGTCGTTGACGTAGGCTGATGCGGGGAGGATGCCCTGGCATGAAGGGGTGTTCTGAAAATGGAAGAGGGAATAGAGCGAAGAAGGCAGAGGGAGGAGGTGGGGTGCTCGAATGAGTGGCGCGACGAAACGTCAGTCTAACTTATCATGCGTCGTTAAGAATTCCCAACCACCATAACGCTGAACAATTCCTCGGCACGATGAACCATGCACTGGCAGCTGTATTGAAATCACTTTTGAGAGCTCTCAAACGTGATTTGAAGCATGCTCTGGCAGCTGTCACCCATTTTACCCACCATCCTCGGCCGTGGTGCCACCTGCTATCAACAGAGGTCACTTTTGAGCCTTTTTTTGAGGCGACTCAAAAATAGGACCATCCTCGGCCATGGTGCCACCAGCTATCAACACAGGTCACTTTTGAGCCCATGTTTGAGTCGACTCAAAAGTCACCCCATTCTACCCACCATCCTCAGCCAAGGCGGAGGATGGTGATTACCCACCACCCTCGACCATGGTGCCACCTGCTATCATATCAACAGCTGCGATGGTGATTCACTAAATCTTCATTGCCTGGGCTAAGAACTTCTCTTAGCTAAGCGATTCACATACTTAGACGTCATTCCGGACGAGGCCCCGCGTGAACATGCCACGCTAGCAAGCGCCCAGCCGCTGCACGGGCCACTGCCACAGTGCCGCGCACAGATCTTCACTCACTTGCTGCTAACTGCTCGTCTTGACATCGTACCGGGCGTTCCCGCATAGTGCGAGTTTCCCCCTGCATGAGCATGCCACGCCAGTTAGCGCCCAGCCAAGTTTCTCAAAGTTTCAGTCGACTTAGCACTCACCTTGACATGTTACTGGGCGTTCCCGCACATGAACATGCCGCGCCAGCTTTTGCCCAGCCTCTGCACGGGCCACTGCCACTAGTAGTAGCATGTCCTCCTGCTCCCCCGCCTTACCTTGATGTCATAGTGCACGTTTCCCCGCATGAACATATTCCACCAGCTTCCGCCCAGCCGCTGCGCGGGCCACTGCCACTGGTAGTAGCTGTCTGGAAATGCCAACATGTCCTCCTTCTTCCCCACCTCGTTCACACCAGTTGGCGGTCGCTCAGCCTCTGCCGCTGAACTGTGTGAGCGGCTCACCTTGACGTCGTATCGTGTGTCGCCCCGCATGAACATATTCCGCCAGCTGTCGCCCAGCCGCTGCGCGGGCCACTGCCACTGGTAGTAGCTGTCTGGAAATGCCAACATGTCCTCCTCCTTCCCCACCTCGTTCACCCACCGAAACGCCGATGCGGATTCCTCCCACGGCCCACCCACCCACCCATCCGCCAGCCTCCTCCTTTTCCTTCCTCTGCTTGTCTTCTCAATGTTGCGCTGCTCTCTCAGTCGTCTCTGGCAGACCACCCACCCATCCGTCCGCCAGCCTCCTTCCCCTTTTCCCTCGCCTGCCCCTGGTACTTGGCTTTTCAATCGCTGTCCTCTCGGTATTCTCAGGCCGCCCTGCCATCCATCCGTCAACCAGCCTTCGTCTCCGAGTCGCCCTCCCGCCTCGACTGACCGGCTTGCGAAACCCACTCACTCCTCCCCTCGCTTCCATCACTCCGACACTCACATCCCTCACTCCCCTCACATCGCTCCTCTCCCCCTCTTTTTGCCTGCTAGTACCCCATACTCCCATGCTCTTCCTCGCTCTTTGGCCCTCAAAATCTCTCTCAATATCGTTCTCCTCACTTTGAACACTGTCTTTTTCCTCCCACGCATGAATCTCCCTCAAGACAGACTCAACAATATCTCCCTCTTCTCGTTCCTGATCTTTCTCCCCTTCCTCCTCTCCCTCCCATTCGCCCCCCTCCTCCTCCTCTCGCTCATCTGTCTCCCCTTTATTAGCGCCATCACCATTTTTCTCAGACTCCCCCATTTCTTCCTTTGCCGTCCCATGATCCCCAATCCTCTCGTTGCTGCCTTCCGTTTGAGCAAGCGCTGACCCTTCGGATGTATCTCCGCCGTCCATCTCCCTAATAAATCCCTCCTCCCTGTTCGCTTGATCCGTTTCCGATTGTCCATTCCCGAATCCCCTCCGCTCCTCCATATCTATTTCCGTTTTAGTCACATTCTTCGAGTCACATCCCTCCCATTCTTCGCACGGCAGAATCAGCTCCAAAAGCGGGTCGCGAGTCGCCGGCGGCGGCCTCCTCCCGCTATGAGTTAACGGCCGCCGGTAACTATCACCTGACGGCCGGTTTGTACGAGCCGGACTGTTATTGCTCGGCTGGTTAAATGCGATATAAGATTCGGTTGGTGTCCCATGGCTGCTTGGTCTAGGGTATCTGTTAGACGGAATTTCAATACCATTTTCTGGAGTCGCAAATGCGTCATTTAATGGGTGTTTCCCGGCGCTAGAAGATAACGCCGTGGCAGACGATAGCAGCAAGCCCAGTAATAGTACGATCACCAGCAAAGGTGAATGGCAGAGAGTAGCTACCGCTAAAATGCGAGGAACGGCTTCCGCCATTGTATGTAACAAAAAAATAAGAAGAAAAAAAAACTTCAATTCTGATCGATAGAATAACAATGATTCTGCCTAATTATGAGAATTGCTGCTAACAATCTAGGGAAGGAGCAGCAAGACGGAAGCAACACAGCACAACAAGGCTTGAATCAGCAGCAGTTTTAACTCGTCAAATACACGGCAATGGCGCTGTTTTTGAAAGGCGTCCTCCACAGTCAAGGAAATTCTGATGCGTTTTTGAGCCATCCCACACTCCCATCACTCACTCGCAGAGTCAGGAAATTCGGCCGTCACCGCCTTATCAGAAACCAGCAAATGCCGAGGCTTGACTTAGCCCAATCAGAAAGCAGCAATCCCCAAACGGGGACGTTCGTTTCGTGCAAAAATACCTGATTCCTATTTGTTGTTTGGTGGTGCTGGGTGTAGACCTTGCGTGCCCGAAGAATCTCCCGAACCACCGTGGCCCAGTCGTTCATACTAGCCGGTGGTACGGGCACCTCGAACCAGCTAGTTTGGCCGGCCTCGAGCCAGTTCGGGGCAAGCTCGCGGCATGAACCCATACCAGATCATTGAGTTTGGTGGGGTGGTACGGTATGGCCCTTGACCAGGTGACTTCCCGTCGCTGGTTCGGAAGAGGTGCGGCCAAACGCCGGCCGCGAGTTTCCATTTGGTCACGAAGAAGGCTCAGGAAGTCAGGGTCCTAACCGTGTGTAGCCTGATTTTCCAGAGTGATGTTGTTAGAAGTCCATATAATAGCAGGTTTAGGAGGGATTACCCCTCGGTACGGCATTTCATAAGATCCCACCACTGGCCATCAGCCCTGCTCGGTTCTCGACTTCACTTGAATGTCGATCCTTGAGATCTGATCCGAGGAGTAACAGCCTATAGTTTATATTACTTGGGCAACTAGTCTTTACTTGGTACTGAAAAGAAATTAAAGTGTGGGACAATTCCATTCGTGTATCTGGCAGGTGTCCCAAAGCGATGTCGCGCGAGCGCAGGTCGTTCGTGTCGTGCTTGACTCTCAGGTGAGCCCACCTGGAACCTTCGAATACTGTATAAGATCCTTATTCGCCAAAAATCTTGATATAAATTCGCAATAAATGGAGAATAGTAACACATTTGCGAAAATGGATACCCCACAACATTAGAGCAATGACACAGAATTAGAATCACAGCCGCTAATAACATATAGGCGCATGCGCTTTCATCTGGAGCAATACAAATCCCATAGTCCCATCAAATACTATCACTTATGGAAACACAGTGGATTCGACCTGGCAATATCAAATGAGCTCCACCTTGAACACATAAAGGAGCAACTGATTCTCACAATCCAGCCAAGCATGTATTTGCATGGCAGTTCTCTCTTCACTTCACATAGTGCGTTGATGTGCTTTCAAACGAAACAATCGAGTCTCCTGGTACCAATACAGTGGCCCTGATGGTCTTGGACCAAGTTTACAAAACATCCAAAGCTTGCCGCCTCACTTGCGGCCGGCAGGAGGCCCTGGGCGGCGGCCCCTGTCATCCTCGTCGTCAGAGTCCACATCACCGTACTGCCAGATGTGCAGCCGTGATTGGCGGGCCATCTCCTGCCTCTCCTTCAGCCCTTCCAACACTGCTGCCAGAGCCGGGTTACGCACACCTCCCCTGCGCTTCTCAAGCCGCGCCAACCCAGCCTGCAAGAATGAGGAATGGGCAACAAAAGAGCGAGAAACGTTGTAAATGAATCAAGGAGTAAGAATGAGGACGACAGTAGGTGGAGGAAGGGATAGAACTGATGGGATGACGAGGTGGAGACAATGCAGCCTAAGTTAGTCTCACCTGCAGCAGCGATGCATTCACGCTGGTCGAAGTCTCGCTATCCACCAGCGTGACTACCCAGCACACTCCACTCCCTTGCCCCTTCACCTTGGTCCCCGCACTCGCATCCCGCTCCTCCACCCGCGCCAGCAGCGTCTTCCCCCCCGTGAGCCCCTGCACCTCCTCCGCTGCCTCCTGCCCAAAGTCCTCCTCCAGCCCAGGCACCTTCACGTGCGCCAGGCGGCACAGCTGCGCCAGACCAAGCCCCTCGGACTTGCCACGCGGGAAGGCGGAGGGCGAGACGGTGGGGTTGTCGAGCGGGCGCAGGCGGGCAAAGGGGAGGGTTTCCTGGTTGCCATAATCAATGTAAAAGACAGTGTATTCGGAGGTGCGCGTTGGGGTGGCATCGGCAGGGGCGGTAACCACCTGTTGGACGGAAGAAGGGTTGGGAAGAGGGGCGAGGTTCAGAGGATGCAAAAGGGAGGAGTCTCTTAGAATAGGGATGAAGTAGAGGATGCCTTGGATGAAAAAAAAGTGGCCTTAGAAACCGTTCCAAACCGTTCCCAACCGCCGCTGACCGTTACCAACCATTCCCAACCCTTACCAACCGTTCCCAACCCTTCCCAACCGTTCCCAACTGTTTCCAACCCTTCCCAACCCTTCTCAACCATTCCCAACCCCTTCCAACTATGTCCACCACTCACCATGGCCCGCGCCCAGCTGTCATCAGCACTGAATTGTGCAAAAACAAACTCGCCCTTCTTCGGCGCGAAGGTCCCGGGAGCCGACGCCTTGGCCTCGCTCAACTGGAGCTCCTTGATGGCCCCTTCCAGGCGCGGCAGCAGCCCCGAACCGCTCTCCACCGCATAGAAAAGCCCTCCGCCCAGCACCTCTGTGACCTGCACGTGCACCAGCTCCTGCTTCCCGTGCGCCTGCAGCAGCGAGGCTTCGGACGCTGCCGCGTTGGCCGCGTCCTGGCCCTCCACGTACCCCTCCCACACCTGGTGGCGGGCAGGGTGGGGGGTAGGGAGTTTGGGGGGGGGAAGGGGAAGAGGCAAGGAGAGGCAACACAGGGAGTGAAGAGTGGTTGAGGCGCAAAGTGAGCGAGACAGGTGCAGCTAAAGCAGCTCTCAGCCCACTGCCAGCCTTCCGCTCACTAGAACCAAGGGAATAACACCCCTAAAACACCCCTGCAACACCCCTGTACAACCACCCATCTCACCTTGAGGCGGGCGTTCTTGGCCTGGGTCTCTGCGGAGATGAGCAGGTGCCCCTCGGCTGTGCGGTCCGGGGTGAAGGACGGGTGTAGCTTCGCCAGGCCTCAGCCCTACCTTCCTCAACTCATCCTTCAGCCACCATACCTTAATGCGGGCGTTCTTGGCCTGCGTCTCAGCGGAGATGAGCAGGTGCCCCTCAGCGGTGCAGTCGGGGGTGAAGGACGGGTGCAGCTTTGCCAGCCCCGCCTGCCTTCGGATTAACCATGCAACATCCCCACCTGAAAAGGCTACACATCTCACCTTGAGGCGGGCGTTCTTGGCCTGCGTCTCAGCGGAGATGAGCAGGTGGCCTTCTGCCGTACGGTCGGGGGTGAAGGACGGGTGCAGCTTCGCCAGCCCTGCCTGCAGCAGCAGCGCGCCGGCGTTTGTGCGCTCGGCCCACAGCGACCCGATGAACGTGCCTGTCTTGTCCACCGTCTCCACCTCGATCTGCAGGAGTCAAGCAGCGGAAGGGCGAGAATATGGGGGGAAGAAAGAAGGCCAGGAATAGCTTACGTATTGTGACCATTAGCTCACAGCAGCGAAATGAAGGGCCCAGAAGGAGGTGGTGAAGGGTCCAGAGAAGGTAGTGTAAGGTCAGAGGG